TTGAAGCAGGCTTCCTGGGCATTCTTTGCTTTCTGGGCAGAAGACTTCTTTCGCGCATCAATCTTGGATTCGATATCCACCCAATTCTGTGTGCAAAAGTCCACCACGTTCTTCTGGTATGTTGCCAAGTCGTATGCCGTCTTGTGACCCTTTCCAAATACTCCGTGGGTCGTGTGCCAAAACTCCGAGACACCGACAAAGTGATTCACGTCGAAATCGATGTTTGGTACGTGCTGGCCGTTGAGGAGGCAAGGCTCATCTGTACACGGAGTGTCTTTTCCAAGGAGAGGCTCGGTTTGGCGCAGGCATTCGTCGAATCGACCGGTGCCGAGTAGGGAGAGTTCCTTGCCCACAGACTCAGCCTCGACAGGGTCGCCTTTGACGTCTGTTCGCAAACCCGCAGGGAGGCACGGATCCGGTAGTTCGAGGTCGTTGGGCTTGCCGTACTGTTCTTTCAGCTTGTCGATATAACGCTCGCGGGCCTGGTTCGCGCCGTAGCCAAGCCAGGTGGCGGTGAAGACCCTGTGCTCAATGGTGCTGCCGTCCAGGGTGCGCAAGCGAACAAGCTTTAGATCGTCGGCATGCCTCTCAGCTTCTGTGCTGTTTGGCGCGAACGCAATCTGCGCCGAGGCACCTCCCATGTCCAGAAAGCCGTATGTGTGGTGGCCTTTACCGTGCGTGTGCTTGTCGGGGTGGTCGAAACCGCCAAGCAGATAGTTTGTAGCGAGCCAGCCGTACAGACCCTCAGTCTCCCCAGAAATTACCTGGATGTTGGTATTGCAGTCGGGTAGCGAGAATCGCGTGTTTTGTTGTAGGTAGGAGCACATGTTGCGGAGGAGAGCCTTTTGTTGGTGGTCGGGAAGGAGACGCATGCCGGCCGTAGCCATGAGGTAGACGGGCGTGTCGGCAACCTTCTTGTCGGGAACCTCCTTTAGGGCCAAGTTGATGAGGGATTCCAGGTGTCCGTGGCCGATCTCTTCTGGCTTCTCGGCAAAGGAGGACACGCCAGGGCGAATCTTTTCGCTCGTCTGCAGCTTGATCTTGGGCAGACTATGAAGCTCTTCCACAGTGGCATGCTTTATGGCTTTGGCGTGATCCTTCCATTTGTAAACGTACAAGCGTGTGCCTGAGGAACCAGCATCAAAGATGATTCCATATCGCCCTATTCAGTGAACACTTGAGTCAGCTGGTTGCACAGTATAATGTCAAACGCGATGTCTTCTATGAGCGTACATTTTTTCCCCATGAGGAGCAGCTGGCGCAGTCAAGCTGCGGCTTATTTGCGGCAGGTTTGGCGTGGGTAGGTTGCAGAAGGCAGAAGGCGAGGCGGGATTATAGCATGGGCGAAGGGAACCCGGCTGATGACAGAGGAGTCGTTATCGAGGTCGAGTAAGCGTGGTGGTACGGCGCCTTGAGACCCGTTCGTTTGATCGATTCGAATCGGTTGTTTGTTCTTTCGAGATTTGCTCCCTTGGTGGTCAAGGTCGAGGAATTTCGAAAACGCCTACAACAAGACCAGTCGCAATCGAGGATCGTCGTGTTTCGCGGCGAGGTGGGCAGAGTTCGCGTAGAGGACGATAGGTGTTGGCAACGGAATGGGTTAGTTGAAAAACAATTGGGTAGTCGTAAAGGCAGGGCGCAGCGGCAGAAAACTGATTTCAAGAGAGTTTTGTCGTTTAAGATTGATTCAAGCGAGCGTCGGTCATCCTGGAGATTGGACAGGAGAGATTGGAGAACGAAGGTTGGCAATTGATTGCTCGATTGATTACCGGTGTCAGGGGAATAAACGGCCAAGGCAAATGGAAGGGACGGGGAGAGAAAAGAAGTCTGGAGACGTGGTTCTAGGACTCGGGGGTGGGACTCTGGAGTGGAGGGAGCTGATGGAGACGCAGACGCACTCGCGGTAGGTGAGTGGGTGAACAGACATACGCAGTAGGCAAACGGAGACGACGACGGGAGACGGAGACAGGGGGTGTGGCTCGTGTTGGGGCCTGGGCTGGCACGCCTTGGTATAAGTTGGTCCCTCTGGGAATGGGATTACTGAGGTGACAGGGTGGCAGAATGACGGGACAGGGTTGCATTCAGCCAGAGATTACGCATCCACGTACACTGTAAAGGTAGGTGGTTTCTGTTATCTCATGTCTTATCAGCGAGAAAAACATGGATAGCCAATGGAAGCTAGAGGCTAGAGCAAATCTCCGCACTGTGTCGGGCACTTGCTTAAGTACCTTACCTACCTTGGAGGATTAGCCAAGCACCCAAGGTGCCTCAGTGCCTGCAGGCAGCGTACAGACTGAGACTACAGAACAGTGGCTGGCTACCCTTTTCAACACTAGTCCTAAAGGTGAGGTGACGGGAGTTGAAAGATGGCAAACCGTCTGGCTGTGTGTCTGCGCCGGTCTTGACTTCAAACGAGGGAGTGCGTAACCGTCTGATTGTTGGTCATGATTGGTGCCCTCGGGGGAACGTGCCTTTTCCCCTCGACTGCCGGATACTTCAAGTACAGTCGCCCAGGGCTACACTGTACCTGCCGTGACAGCACCCAATGGAAGGTTGGACGGAAATGCTCTCGGGGGTTTCTGCATCTCGATATACGGATACTTGCGCTGAAATCACGGTGCCAACTGCCAAGGTACCTTATCTTGTGTGTCCTCCCTTGATCATCGCCCAGAGCTGTTATGCAGCATTGCAGATACACTAGAGGTTTCTCACTGATAGGGACCATCAACCCGCGGGCCATCGACTTTATCCCTCACTTCCTTCTCCCTCGACTCAAGTACCGTGCCGGCGCGTGCATCAACTAATGGAAGGAAAAGAAGTCTCGGAAGAATTGGGGGACCACACCAGTAGCAAGCACTAATCCAGCGCAGCGCGCCACTGTGCACGCTGCAGCGTCCATTGGAGTGCAAGTGTCGCCGGTCGGGCGTGCCGTGGTCCCTTACTCGCCATCGTCGCCTCCCTCTGGCCCGTGCACCGTGAGAATTCTTCGGATTGCTCACTGGGCTAGTGAGTTCACTAGCAGGTACCCCTGCTGTCGGACTGCAGAACTTGGTTGGACCCCTGACTTGGCGTGTCAGATTGGCCAGGCGGGAATGCCACGGCGCGACTACGGAGCACACTGTGCTCGCCACGTACGATGTACCTTACTTGCACTTCGTCGCACCTTGAGGCAGGCATGGCAGGCTACCGGTATGCACGGAATTTGGGAAGCTCCTTCTGCAACCGTCGTTCCCACGGTTCCGAACTTTATGCTTACCTCATCACATGTCCACCAGGTGCAAGAGATATATCCCCCCCCCCCCAAACCACGAGTCTCGCGACCTTATTGACTGCAGTCCTATGAGTGAGCGGAGTTGTGCAGATGCAGGGCACAGTGCTTCAAGACAGTGCCAAGGGATGCATGCGGGCCATCACGCAACTAATAAACTAACCGGCCCACGGTTACGACGAGGATTGCCCCGTCTGCTATCGCAACCTTGGCCCGAGATAATTTCTTATTTCCTTCTCTGCTCTTTCTTTTCCCATCTTGAAATTGGTGCACAATCTAATAAACCACATGGTTGCGGGGTCCATCGTACATGTATGGCAACTTGTCTTCAAACCGCCACGCATGTATCAAGTCGAGACTTTCTTCCTTTTGCTATTCGCTTTCTTTCTTATTCCTCGTGACTATCAAAGGGATTGATTTATAGGCTCTCGAGTGTCCCCCGGAACAACATGGCTCCGTATCACACTCAATATTTTGTACACTACAATACTTGGGTCGAATGAGGCTCTCCAAGTCCAAGTCAATATCACTAATATCACTTCTGCTTGCAAGGGGCAGCTCGTCGACCCACCCCCGCCCCCAATGATATCACGCTGTGCTTAACTTCCCATTTATAGCCTTCTTTCGTCTCAACATCCCGTCTGCTCTACCAGCATCACCAACTCTCCTTGGATTTGTGTCTTGTTCCCGCCCGCTTTGATATCTGAAACCACCGAGCGCCGATGTTGAGCACCAACGTCATACACCATCGTCCGGGGCTGCAGCGAATGGCATCCGCCCTCCCGCCGCGCATCATCCGTCGCTGACCCCTCACCCTACTGTCAACGCTCGTCCTGGCTTTCACCTGTCCTCTAGATGGGATGACTCCCCAACGCCTCCCATTGCAATCCCAGCTTGCGCCTATGCGGTGGCCCGGATCCCAGCTCCGGGAGAACAGGCAATGCGCTATAAACCAAGGCCGTCTGACTGCTGTCGACATGCATCGGTGACGAAACTAGTAGTCGAGGTTTCTGCTGTCTTCGTGCTTCCAGGCTGTGTCTCCTACCTCTGCAATGTCGCCACCACTGCACCGATCGTTGCGCTGCTGCTTGTAGCCATCTGCCGCCTAACATATCGCCGTTGCTGCCGCTCTTGGCGCGAGGTCTGTTGAACTTTTGCAGTTTCTTCCGTTTCTTCGGCATAGTCTTGGGACTCTCTTGGCCAGTTTCGATGTAACGCTCTTCGCCCACACGCGACAACGACGACGTTGAGCTGTATCTCTCGATGGACCTTGGTCGGCCGAATCGTGGCATGACAGTGTACCGAGTTCTCGCTGGCAGGCTCAGCAACTCAAATCGACTAAAGACAAGACTGATATGCGTATATCAATTACCAAGGGACTGTCAAACGCCTACCTTCATCGCCCCTGATATAAGTCACATCTCCGTACCCAAAGGCTCCTGCTTCTTCGGCTACAACTCGTGGCCCATCCTCGAACAAGGTCTCGACCTCGTTTCAAACTCTTGAACAAGAGCCTTCATGTTGAAAACAAATATGTGGGTCGTCTATCGTCCATATTCCTTTTGCAACTTCTCCATCTATTGTTCCCTCCAAACACGTGTCTAGACAACAAAGGCATCTGTTCTCGAAGAGAACAATCATGGCCCATGTCACGGGTCCGCCAAATGACCAAATGCTGCGGGAGCAAGGCCTGGACGTTTGACTGCTGTCCCAAGTCGTTAGTCGCGATGTTTCAGAGGCGAGGGATGGAAGAAATACGATAAAAATATGGCTCCGTTTCGTCGCGTCCCGCAGAGCCATGACCACTGTGACTGGTATGACCAGTCCGGATACCGGAAGAGAGGCCAACTCCAAGACCTCGCCCACGCGATATGGGCGGGTGTCTTACAAGTGGGAGGCTCTCCGAAGGACCGCGAGGCATTGGTGTTCCCGTTCCCGTTCCCAGCCCGGACGCAATCGATAGCCCGAACCTTTCATGGCTGCCATTGCCATGTCCTCGGGGTGTACCTCGTGGGGTGCTCATGATGCCGCCTTCGCATTTTGTCAGCGTGCAGTTGCGTCGCATGTTAATAATATCCGGCTTACCTTGCGCAGGTCCTGGTTTTGACCAAGCTCTGTCGTCGCGAAGCGGCCCGGAACCTCCTCCGCCAGCAAGAGGTCTTCGATGTCCCCTTTCCGGCCCGACGTAGGAATGTGCATTGTTGTACGCAGACTGCGACTGCGATTCGTAGATGTTTTGCCTCGCTGCGGGTTCAGGAAACTCAAAAGCCGGTAATTGTAAGTCATATTGAAGGTTGGAGTCAACTGCATCCGAGGCGGCAGCCTCCATCTGTCCCAACTCGGCTTTCCGCTTGACCTTGTCGTAGAGTTCCTGAACTTGTGTGAGCTTGCGGCACTTGTCTTGGTAGGAACGCGCAAGTTCTTCGTGTTTCCGTCGCATGTCGTCGTAGTCATCTGAGAGAGCTACTGGACATTAGCAAACTCATCTGTGACCTCAAAAGACGGCCACGCTGTTGTTTCGTACCTCGCATCTTTTCCTGGAGACTCGAAATGTCGGCATTCGCATCACCCACCGTCTTTTCGAATTTGGTGTTTAGGGTTTTCAGCTTCTCCGTCAGCGTCTTTTCGAGATAGCGCTGGTATATACTATGCTAGGTAAGTGACCAATGCCGAAGGAATTGGGACAGGGACCAGCTCACACTTCTTGGGTTGTCTGGTAGGCCCAAAAGCTCAGAGCCCTTCCTGCACATTCCATGATTATGTTGGGGCTTAGCCCGCTGAGAACGCTGGTTTTGTAGTCTTCGGTCAGGTTCAAGTTGGTCACCACAGCGTCGTCTGGATTGTTGAGCTGGCATTCACAAGCCGGGCACGACTTGCGGCGAACCTGAGCTTGGCCCGTCAAGCCATGACGCTTAGAGCAGTCTACACAAAAGATGTGGCTGCACAGGTTCAGTTAGCTAGCGGCTGCTTGATTTGCTTAAGGATATCTTACTCACCTGCACGTGGTGACCAAGGCCTGGTCACTGAGCTCTTTCCGACACTTGAGAACGTTGCATTTAAGAGTATGTTCCATGGCCAACGCTGATGCTGGCCGTTGGATTAAGGGGAGGCTGTAGGATTTGCTACGTTTGGGGAATCTTGATGCTGGTCTGGCTCTTCACCGCCGCGATGTATCGAGTAGTTGTTTCGAAGACAGAGTATGGATATTCGTGATTCGCTCGCAAAGTGCGAGTGCCAGTACTAGAGGACTAGGTTCGATTTTATCTCGGATCTTTCTCAAAAGAACTTCTCAGAGGTGAAATGTATCGGTAGTTCAAGAGCGTTCGAGAGAAGAACGGATGCCATTGTTGCGGGTAAAGAATTTCATTGATGTTGGACTTAGCCTTCCTGGGGTACTTTCCTCATCTGACCTACCCGTAGGGCAGTGCGCTGGCCGATATTTCTCCGCGTGTGCAAACTGATAATTGAGGTCCGCCCTCACGATAGGTAAGGTACCTTAAGGTAAGGAAGGTGGTGAGGACCTACCACAATTACCCACCTTCATTTGGTGCAGGCACGTACCTAGTACTTACAGCATGGACTTGTGAAGATGCTCCTGCCTCGTCGTTCCTCGAGTAAATGCTAGTAGATACCCGCCTGCGATATGGCCGTGACTCTTCCGCGAGAGAAGAGGGATGGGTCACATACTATTGAAATGAGATGCCTGGCCTATCAACATCGCTTGAACTCACTTTACGATACTGACGGGCCTGCCCTTAAAGTGATGGAAACACTGGCGCCTTTGTCTTGGTTCTGAACGAACAATGTTGCGAATAGGAGGCCGATCGTCTGTTTTCGAAGCTGAGGAAAGCATCTAGAAAGTCGGCTGCCGGAGCCGGTGGGAGACCCAGCCCGACTGCGCCGGAGTGGGGCGCACCCCAACGGCCCCCAATCCCCGCAGTGCGGTTCGTTTCGTCTCGGTCTATCGGCCGGGTTTAGGTGACCCACAGTTAACCGAATCAGCGGGGCCGGCACTTTTCGCCGCTGTGGCCGTGTCGACGATGAGACATGCATGAAGCAGTGTCACCAGAATTCTGCTTCGCTTTCTACTTCGTCTAATTACCGGTAGCTCAGTGGTCCCCAATGAGTTTCACCAAGACTTCGAGGAGTCCGAAGGGACAATATTGAGCCTCGGTGTTTTCCGCTAATTCTGAGCAGAGCATGACCCGGTGGTCGCACCGCCCGCTGGAGGCATGACTCGTATGCCTCGTCGCATCCCGTCGACCGAGGCTATTGGCACGCCGGTGCCATCGGGAACTTAGGCCCGGTGTCAAGAGATGAGCAAAGCCTTATTCGTGGTGGGACGGCCGAGTCACATCGTGTCCTGGCGCCCTAGCATTAAGTCTCTCGGCTCAATTGGCAAAGAACACTAGTCACTGGGAGTCTAGAATCTAGAAGAAGGCTACATCCTGGCCTACAATGTAACACGGCAACCCTTGTGTACTGTGGTATAGTTTTCAATTGAAGGCACACAAACGTCACAGAAGCGAGAGTCGCGGCAACTAGACACAGAGTGTAATGTCAGGTTTCATTGTGTACAACCTCAAGATATATCTTATTGAATTGCCGTGGAGTACAGAATGACTGGGTTCGGCATCTGTTATGACGGGCGTCGGGCGTCTCTCTCGACGCCACACTCCTGCAGAAGCCCCTTGTCAAGTACGTCGACCTCTGATGAGACTCATTTGAGCCAGAAAGGGCCTGGCAGCGGCATACGAGCATCATTGAGCTTAACGGTCCTCTTCCTAGTGAAATGTTCCTGGCATTCTCTAGCAAACAAGACTTATGATTCGCTCATCGTACAGATACGCGTTTCCATGTCTCTGCTATTGCCCAACGGTGAGACAAAGCTGGTCCTCAAAACAAGGATAGAGGCATGCTCGTCGCGCACTATAAGGCTCTTCGCGCTGGAAAGGCTCCAGTAGCGTGGCATCTCGTTAAATATTCAATACTATCTTATTTTCCCCGGACAGACGAAGAACACCACGGCGACGAGGGTCTCTGCCGATCGCCTACATTGTCAAATCACCGTAGAATCGTTATGTGGCGTAGCAGGCAAGGTACAATGAGAAATAAAAGGAAGAGCGAGGCATGTGAGGCGCCAGAGGGTAGGGGAAAACAGGGACTGCAGAGAAGTCAGAAGAACCAGGACTAGAACAAGGATCATGGGATGATTCTGGATGTGTGGGGTGCGTGGCGTCTATGAGGGGGAGTACAGAACAGGGGTAACTCTGCTCTCTGCGGGCCGACATCCCAGAGAGGCCATCCTTGACACCTCCACCATCCCATTTACCCGCCCAATCGCAACTCGGGTCTTCTCGGATATCTGCGCGTTCATCCTAGCTTGGTTCACCTTACCTCGGATCATGGAAACCTCACTCAACCTCAACCTCTCCAGCTCTAACCTCTGCATGAACCCCAAGCTTCTCTTTGAGGAATGGGGAGCATGACGCTAAGAGAAATGGCCACCATTGACGAACCTTTGACGAACCATCCTGCTCCGTTCCAACCACTCACCTCCCAGCCAGCCTCGTCCCGGCCGACGCCATGGCATGATCGCCCGCTCTCCCGATCGCGACGTTATGCTTGAAATGAGTAACAAAAAGTCCCCTCCTTTGTGCCCTGTCATAGTTGTGCAACCCGAGGTAAGGTACACTTGCGCTATGTGTTGTTCAGGGGTAGGTGAAGCTCCTGCTATTCGTCAGCAGACTTATAATTCGCTGATGCTCTGGAGCACATCTTGTTATGGAACAACCTCCCGCTTCTCAAGGATGGGAAAGTTGAATAATGCTTCATGACTTCGCGGCACGTAGGACTCTGCACATCACTCGCATCCAAGGCCTCTTTACAGCCATGTGCCTGCCATGGCCGCAGCAGGACGTAAAGTTATGCGGCCACGCAGGGACTCATTAGGATCGTAGGACCGGCCGACGAGGCCCAGTCTTGCCTTGCCGGCACTCCAGAGTAGCTCCTCGCATGGCAAAAACACACGTGGTCGATGTCATTGTTGCCAACGGCGGGCCGGCGAGTGAGCCCGGGGTTAAAGTGAGCTCCAAGCTGTCTCTTGTTACAGTTTGTTTTCTTTATGGGGTCTCGTTTGATTGCAGGTCATACGTAAAATCGTCATCGTCATTTCGGGGCGTTTCCAGTAATCTTCGCTGCCATCATGTCCCGTTTTCCATGCTTTCAGGCGCGCCCGCCACCCTCCCCCTTTTCCTCTTTTTGGCCCCGTCAATGTGACTGGCGTACGTTCCAAGAAACTCCGAGCACTATTTGGCTCACCTTTTTGGGCATGCGAGCTTATGTACAGCATCTCTGGCTTCGGCCTATAACGCCCTCCGCCAAGTGTCCCAATCCCAGCATCAGGATCCAAGTATGTACCAGAGAAACAAAGCCAGAGCAAAATCCCCAATGTGACACATCAGTGGACGAAGAAGCCGACCTCCATGCCGGCTACCTGGCTGCCCATCATACCGTAGTCCATATGCATCATATGCTCGCTCACGTTGTACGGGGAAAAGTCGACGGCCTGGTCGGGACCCTGGCCCCAATACATGCCGTCCATATCCCATAGTCCATGCTGATCGAGCATGCCCATCATGCCCATCCCTTCCGGCTCCAGGCCGATGGGTGACATGTGCAGCTCCGCCTCCGCCATCAGCATCCCTTGCTCGCCCGCCAACCCTTGCAGAGGGCTTTCTGACCGCATCGACGGCTGTCGAGAGGCTTCGTACATTCGCCACACGACCTCTCGGCTACGCTTCGCCGCCAATGACCAGTCCTCCATGGCCTCCAGCAGGTCGAGGATCGTCTCGATCTGCTGGTGCCAGTCGGCCACACGCGGGCTATTCCATTCCCAGAACGTGCTGACCAGTGGGATCATGGCCGCTTGGTAGAGGAACCACACAGCGTTCCATCCAGACATTTGGTTGCGAGTCCATTCCCGGGCAATATCCTCGATGGTCTGCTTCGCGAGCTCGCGGCACGTCTCAATGGCCGTGACGTCCTGCTCGGCCACGTGAGACAGCGAGCCGTTGCTAGCCAGACTCAGCAGAACGGGTCGGTGGAGGAGCATCCGCAGATTCTGATATCGCCACTTCATGATGCATCGGGCAATGTACAACGGCTCCGCGCAGGGGTCCGTCGTTCTCAGGAGCCACGGTAGGCTGCTGTACCAGTTGACCAGCTGCCCGTCGAGGTTGCAGCGGTCTTCTGCGCGGAGGAGGGGCGAAATGGCCAACAGGTCCTGGATCTGCGTGGCAATCTTGCAGAACTTGATGTTCTCGATGAGGGGCAAGATGCCGGCGTGCTGCGCAGAGTCCCGGCCCTGGCTGATTCCAAATTCTGGCGGCCGGATGTTAATGGCAGGGCCCCATCGGCCGAACGAGGGTCGTCCCATTGTTGTTGTTGCCCATGTATCGAGGCAGAAGAGACTCCACCACGTACGGCGTCTGGTCTCGGCGGCGGCAATGTCGCTGGACCCTTGCGCCAGGCTCTCTCTGTGAAGGCCGAGGGCGCTTGCCATTCTAATGGCCGCGCCAAGGACAGCGTTGGCCATGTTGGGTCTGTTGATGTAGTGCAGATAGTAGCCTCCGATCAGCGCGAGGGCTTGCACCATTTCGATATGGCTGCTGCCAAAGGCATCCATGGGCAGATGCTCCATGGCCCTATTATAGTAGTTGATGTGGTTGTAATCGTCCGACTTCATAGCGACAATGCTGCCCATAGCAAAGACCATGTTCAGCAATGCTAGCCAGGGGGCATCAAAGCGCTGGCCTTCCAGATAATCGGCTCGGAAAGCGGCCTCGTCCAGCATGGGAACGAAGACATGAATGCGTTTGAAGTAAGCATCAATGAGCGTCTGGCCCTTCCATGACCACGGGATGCGCTGGGTATCCTTGGGCACGGCGCTTCTCTGTCGCATAGATGGGAAGCTATGTGTGACTTCGGCGCTCTGGAGCGGCGTGGTGAGCGCGTTGCGAAGTGCCGGCTGAACCTTCATGAGACACATGAGCGCTGCTTTGATTGAAGAGG